TCCAGCTTCCCCACTTGCGCAATAGCCTTCTTATAGTCGTCATCCCTGGCGTGAAGGCTCCCGTGCGCGGAAAATAAATCTGAAGAAAGTTGATCTCGCTCTGCTGAAAGAGTCTCATTTTCCTTCTTCAAATTCTCCATTGACAGACTCAGGTTGTTTTTATCGGCGGTCAATTGTTTCACCGCATCCTCTGCCATTTTTAATTGCGCCATCAACGATTTTGAAGAAGCTTTCCCGTCAGCAACTTCTTTGCCAAGGCGCCCTACGTCAGCAGTCAAGCTATTCACCTGCCCCCCAAGTCAACAATAAGATCCTCTTGTCGGGTGCATCGTTCCTCAAAATCCAGGGTAATCTCTTGTTGGCCCAGGAGGCGGCCAATTATTACTTGGGTGCAGTCCATGTATTGCTGGCGGTCGAAACGCGGGGGCATTACCATCTTGGGACGCCTGATGTTGGGGAAGCCGTGGGCGAGGTCCCTCTCGGACAACCTGAGCGCCCTGCTCACAAGGATTTCTGGAAGAGGGGGTGAACCTACAGCCTCAGATGGCTCAACAGGGTGGTCACCTCCCCCAGCCGGATCGCCTTCAGAGGCACCATCCCGGGTCAGACCGCCCCCAGAACGCTCAGAGCGCCCTTCCTGGGAAGATCTTGGTGGTGTTAAGCTCGCTGTCGCGCCTTGTAACCCAGAACCAAGTGTTGATTCACTTGCAGAAGAGTGGCCAGTCATGCCAGTGGGCTCTCTAATAATAGGGCGGTTAGCCCGCTTCTCAAGTTCACCAGCAGGGATGTCAGCAGCAGACCGAACTTTCTTCTTTTTGTGGCGGACCTCTACGGCTTTACCCTTGTCCAAGCTTTTCCTTTTTGAGGGAAGGATGGTCTGAGTCTGAGGCGCTAAGCCCTGCACAAGAAAGGGTAAACACAAGAAGTCTCAGAATAAATCGCCACAAAGTTAAAGAAAAAGGAAAACTTTGAACGCCACCACACCTCCATGACACAACACTTGCTTCGTGGGCCACCTGTCAAGACCCCCTTTACCTCCAAAAACCAACCGATCGCCCTTACCTCCCCAGGAGACAAGACCCTTAGAGCAAACGAGTACTGACCGGCCGGCGTTTCATAATGAGCCTTAGTCCAGTACAGGGGAAACCGGCACTCCCCACTCGACGGATCAACAAAGAAAGGGAGCTCGCCCTCGCTTAGCACTGGTTCAATCCAAAAGAAGGTACGCGTCCAATTTTTGTAAGAGTTGGCGTACTGGGCAAATATTGATCCAATCGAGTTGCCCGCCTTCAAAGAAACCCAACCAAGCTTCATCTTCTTGGATGGTGACACTTGAAAGCAGTAGAAAAATGATCGTACAGAATAGACCATGTCAAAATACTTGCATATACTCTCAAAAACTCGGACAAACGCCCAAACGTTGGGATGCAGTTGTGAAGACGCAACCTGTAAGTGAGATAACACCCCCATCTCGAACTCGGATAACGGAAACCTCACCTTCTGATCAGTAAAGTGCGTTTTGTACACCATAAATCGCCATCGTAATCGCTGCTCCACAAGAGGCGCGTAACAAACTCGACGATCATCGCCGACCGCGATCGGTTGCCACTTCGCCTCCATGGCGCCATTTTCAGTTATACTAAAGCTAGGCTCACCTTTATAGTGACTGCGTAAGATGCTCTTGTCAGAGTAGCTTGAAGAGGTTGAGGCCACCACTGAGTCAACCCAATCCTGCGCCCCGAGACCATCGTCCGACGAAACAGTCGCCATAATTCTGGAAAATCCTTGAGAGTCCTACCTAGGAGCGACAAACACACAGTCAATCTTCTAAACTTCACTGACGCCAGGAAGACCATTGCAAAAGGAAACGAGATACTCCAACCCACCCTATCAACATCCTTGTCACCTCCAACACCCCCCGCGCCAAGAACAACAAAAAGGAAAAAAGAAAAGTTATACAGTTAACTCACCATCAGAATCCGAGGTATCTGATGAACTTGAATAAAAATCTGAATAGCTCAGGTTAGAAGGCCACCAAGCAGGCGGTATCTTATAAAGCCCTATATCCTCAAAAATGGCTTCCCACACGCCATACCTTGTAAGGCGACCATCCTCCGGGTGATATCTACCCAAACAATTTTCTGTGGACTCATCATACATGCGACGATGGAAAGATTGCGGAATGAGGGGAATTAGACCATGAGAGGAACGACAGGCGACTGGAGAATGGCGAGGGTGGAAATAATATTCTAAGGGACGGTTTTGACGCAGGCAGTTGATGTTGGATACGGGTCGAATTAATCGCCCAACTCCAAATTCAGAACGCCGAGAAACGCGACGGCGTGAAGCGAGCATCTGCCTCCTAGTGGCGGTACGCGAACGCCCACCAGATCTGGAGTTCTTCTCACCAACCAAATCGTGGCGCCCTCTGCGGCGCCCACTATGGGGAATTAAACACGACGCCTCACCAGCATACGGTAGGATAGGACCCGATACTCTCTCGGGAAGAAGATTTTGAATCTCCTCTTTGCTAAAACCCAGAAGTTCGGGCACCTTCCCGTGGGGAAACCTCTCAACCCCAGGAACTAAGGGACGACTTGGGGCGCAACTAGCAAGACACTCTCGCATAGCTGGCCCCACCGCACTATCCCCCAGTGCCTCAAAGGCCTCGTCAAACCCCTCTTCTTTAATTTCTACTTCCAATTCAGGGAGTATGAGGCCTGGGATAGGTTCTGTAAACCTAACCATCGGTACAACAGAAAAAAGAGGAGAAGACAACCAGAAAGGAGAATAGAAACGACAAGAGAATAAGGACTATACCTGAGAATCGCAGGAAAGAAGAGAAAGAAGACCGGCACTATCACACCAGACTGAGGATAGGGAACAAAGGCTCTGAGCAATGCGCAAGAGTGTAGGTTTCGCGTAAGGAAGAGCCCTAACAAGGGGGCTCCCCCCCATTTTATAAAAAAAAGGGGGGGGGGGGGAAGAGAGAGACCTCACTTTACCGTACGATGGCATGCTCATCGTGCGGTTACGCAAATCACACTAGTCTCACACAGACACGTGTAAGTAACCCACACTTAACCGTTCGATGGCATGCTCATCGTGGGATGAGCGGTTACGCAAATCACACTAGTCTCACACAGACACATGTAAGTAACCCTCACTTAACCGTACGATGGCATGCTCATCGTGTGATGAGCGGTTAAGGAGAGGGGGCAAAACGGTCACTTCAAAGGGACAAATCACCAGTCGCGTCGCATTAATGCGCTGAACCCTATGACGCTTGGATGCCTGCAGTAAATAGTAATGATGGGATAACTCATCATTACGGCTCCTCAGAAACCGAAAAGCCTCTTAAAGTACCTTTAAGAGGCAGCTTTCCGTTTCCATCACCTACCAATCCCCGTCATCAATGACCGTAGGACAGTTATCACCAAGAGCAATCGCCCGTGCTCAAGCATTTCACATCGCCAAGCGATGGGTCGCCAAGCATTTCACATCGCCAAACGATGGGTCGCCAAATCCTATCTACCAAGGCGCCAACCTATACCCATAAAGCGCCAGTAACTCCCCCTTTAAGGACGCACACCGCCCTGACAAGAACGTCCGGAGTCTTTAACTTGGCACCACCCCACGGCTGCTACCAAGCTGGGGGGCTCCTGTTCTGGATGGCCCAAATACTGGGGCGGCCCAACTACACAGGCCCAACCCTCAGCTGGCCCAATCACTCAAGCCCAGCCTCAGCCTTGCCCCACGTCAGCCCTTAGGGCTGACATGGACCCCCACAACCCCCAACGTAGCAGCAGGCCCAAGGCATACACCAAAATGTCCCATCTTGGAACGCTAACCGTTGAAGGCGACTACGACAGAAACCACAAAGGGAAACTCCCCCTTTGCCCGACGCTGACACCGCCAGAGTGCAGAGGGCGCAGCACTGCCACAATGACAGCGCCAGCACGCCTAACACTGCACCATGGGAGTAAATCCCAAGGAGAGGTCAACCCGCTCCATTTCCCTTATAAATAGCCCTCCTGGGCACACATTAGAGGTATCTTTTATGTACTGTTGTTATGCCCATTTACTTCCAAGTCATTCTCTTGTTATTAATCTGCCATTACTATTAGCTTGCTTGCCTCTTGGAACTATACCTACTAGTCTGGTCATTACCTCGCCTAGTGGTATAATCCATATAGTAACGTTACCCTATAGGGTACATAGTGGGCTCACAGAACCTAACGGTACAGAAAGTAAATGTGTTTATCTTCAAAGAAAACTCAATCTAAAAGCATGTTTACCAATTAACTAATTGAAGATTAAACCCGGATTCCCCCACATACTTGACATAAGTGATTATTGAATTTATTTTAAGCTAAATAATTGTTTAATTATAATACTCAAAAAATATCTTAAATATGCATTTATTTTCTGTCAACTTCATCAAAGACATCACAACCTACTCCGCCAATAAGTCTATAAACACCCTATGCAAAAATAAATCTCACTAAATTGTTTCGTGTCTCTATCTATATTGGAATTCACTAGCATAGCATTTATACCTTTTTAAAACCCCACAAATTTCACGTTTTGTTCATGCCCTTTTCAGTTCCCATGCCCTAATCTCCATTTAACTTGCACCACATCTCAATCTCATCCCAAAACACATCCATCTTTTTCTCCTTTTTAAATTTTTCTTTTGGCTTAAACCCAATTCTTTGTCTTTGACACAAACACAACTGGCCCTATTGTTTGAATAAAATCAATGAACATGTTCCATAGTTTACTTTTTTTCCTTTTTAATAAACCACGTGTATTATTCACATAAGACAATTCTGTTCGAACTGAAAACATCCACATTATAGTAGGGCTAACTCTGATGGAATTGTTTGCATTCCCACCACACCAAGTGTATCATAGTTTACTATTTATTGATACACGAAGTGTGTATCTCCTATCTTGTAAAAAGCAAGCCCACCAATCAAATAGAAGCAGTAGCAACAATGTCCATTAACCAACCAGAATGGCCTGAACCAATAATCAGGGTTCAATCTTTGTCCAAAAGTTGCACAGATTCAATCCCTGAAAGGTATATCAAGCCCTCTACTGATAGGCCATCAATAAGCTCTTCTTCTTGTGATGATGTTGATGCCAATATTCCAATCATAGACCTTGGAGGTCTATATGGTGACCAAGATACCCGAGCCTCAATCCTTAAGCAAATCTCAGACGCTTGCAATGAGTGGGGTTTCTTCCAAATCATAAACCATGGTGTTAGCCCTGATTTGATGGACAAGGCTAGGGAAACATGGCGTCAATTTTTTCACTTGCCTATGGAGGTGAAGCAGCAATATGCAAACTCACCAAAAACTTATGAAGGGTATGGTAGCAGGCTTGGAGTTGAGAAAGGTGCTATTCTTGATTGGAGTGATTATTACTATCTTCACTACCTTCCCTTATCACTTAAGGACTACAACAAATGGCCAGCTATGCCTCCTTCTTGCAGGTAATATATAGATACAATTAATAAACAAACATCATGAAGAATTTTTTGTTTAATTAGTTTATATATAACAAATATATATATATATATATATATATATATATATATATATATATATTGGTTTTGTGTAGGGAAGTGTTTGATGAGTATTATGGGAGAGAGTTGGTGAAGCTTGGTGGGAGGTTAATGAAGGTTCTTTCAATAAACCTTGGATTGGAAGAGGGGCTTCTTCAAAAAGCTTTTGGGGGTGAGGATATTGGGTCATGTCTAAGAGTGAATTTTTATCCAAAGTGTCCAAGGCGAGAGCTGACACTGGGTTTGTCATCACACTCAGACCCAGGAGGTATGACTATGTTGCTTCCAGATAACCAAGTACCTGGTCTTCAAGTCCGAAAATGTGATAATTGGATTACTGTGAAGCCTGCTCGCCATGCCTTCATTGTCAATATTGGTGATCAAATTCAGGGAATTAATCTCTCTCTCTCTCACACACATAATTATCCATATAAAGGGAATGCTTGGCCATGATTCATGATGCAAGAACCCGCACCGTTAATTAAGAAATTTAATTAATAAATTATGTAAAATTAAGAAATGATTCCATAATTGGCCCTAATAATTATTATGAGGCTTTAATAATTATAGTAAGTGAGTAATAATGCTGAAAATCGCTTTTCGGAAGAAAAGTGCAGATACCGGTTCTGCTAGTCAGTATAAATGCGTACTGAAAAAGTATCCCGAAAAATTATAATAAGTGTATGATAATTACTAGAATTATATGTAGGACTTGTAAAAAGAGTTTCAAGTCCAGATAATGAGAACTGGTGCTAGAAACTGGTACTGGCTTGGAAAAACGCGTACCGGAAAGGTGCTCAGAAAATTATAAGAATAATATGATAAATCTTAGAAAATTATGTAGTTTCATAATCCAAAGTTTGGGATTAAAATGCTAAGCGTAGCAATCAAAGTTAATACTGTGTGTTTAATTGTTAAACCACTATATAAGCCTTAGTGGGCACTAAACCCTAGGCCATATTACATTCTCTACGTGAGTGAGTGAGGGTGGCTGATCAGCTTGGCTGCTCCTTGGGGTTTCTTCTCCATTTTGAGTCCAAGACACTTCCTTTCTTGATTTTCTTCACACTTTCACTTGGGAAACATCTTGAGAGGGTGTGAGGGTGCTGTGCTTGAGGTTTGGCCACTGTTTGTGGGCTGTTTGTGTTCTGAGTTGGGGTTTGGGTGGAGTGCCTCCTTTCTCATTGGGTTTTGAGGCTTAAAGGAGTTTTCTTGTTGAGTAAAAGGACTACCTTGGTATACCATTTTCGTGTGCAGAGAGAGACATAACCTTGGAGTGACCTTTTGAGCTCCAAGAGCACCTCTTGTTGGCTGATTGAGTTTTGGTAAGCCTTCTCACCTTTGGTCTTGAGTCTTTGAACTTAAAAATGAAAGCTTGATGCATGTTAAGGCTTAAAGATGATAACTTGTTGTTGGGTAATGTTGAACACACCTAGAAATGCATGTTTAGGTGTTTTAAATCGTTAAAAACCCAATCTTGGATGGATATCTTCACGAAATGCATTTTCTGCATTCTGTCGTGAAATATCCGGATATGTGCCCGATGAATATCCGGATATGTGATATCCGTATATGGGTTTTGAGTATCCGGATAATAGATATCCGGATATGGGATTCTGGATATCCGGATATTGCATATCCGGATATGTCCAGTGAGATATCCGGATATTGCATATCCGGATATGGTCCCGAGGAATATCCAGATATTCTGGGATTTCGTAGAACAGTAGCTGTGTTGTGTGTACAGTAGGCTATTGGGGGTTTGTGGACCCTAGATTGCTGAAGTGGAACTTCTGTAATTAATGAACTAAGTCAGAATCAAGTGATTAAGTGCTTATGGCTTGGTGAGAAGCCTTAAGACATAAAGCGTAATGAAAAGGCGTTGTCTTTAATTTGTATGCATGTGGTACATGTTATTGATTTAGTATTGGTCCATAACAGATTGTGAATCTGCTGTGTTTGGACTTTGAGCTGTGGACTTTTGGCTTTTGGAGTTAGCTTGCAAGGTAAGCTTTCGTGTCCTCGGTTTAGCCATGTTGTGGTTCCACCATGTCCCATGGGGGTATGGTTTATGCATGCTGTGTACATGCTTTTGGATATTTGATATGTTGATTGAACTTTACATGTAATGGCTTTTAATATGCACGTGTTGTTTCATCTTGACGGGAAGCCTGAGTATGTAGTGCCATACAAGACGGTGTACCGGGGTGAATGCAAGTGGTACTTGCACAGTGTGTAGGTTATAGACGTATACCTGCACTGTCTCTGGCCAGTAGATTAGTATTGACACACATGGCATGATTATCTGCTGCATTGCATTGTTTTAGAAATGATAAATGATAAACTGCTTTTGAACTTATATTGCACATGTAAGTGAGCTTGGGGTGGAAGATCCTTGAGGACTCACTGACTTACTGAGATTTCTAGATTAGAGATCTTACCCCACGTTTGGGGAATGCTTATTTCAGGATCAGGTAGTATGGGTACTGATGCCTCAGGCGGCAGGAGGCCGGAGCTTAGCTGATTATGTTGTTTCTGCTTATTTGTTAGCATGACTGGATATTGATGCTGATTATGTTTCATGCCTTTTATCATTATGTTGTTGTTGTTGAGACTGATGTTGGGCATGTTGCCTTATTTGAGTGAGCATGGGGATTGTCCATGACACTTTCTATTAGTACTTTTAGATTGGAGTTGTATAAACTGTAAGATGGTCCGGTTTACATTGTTGTAGTTCCGTGACTAGAGCCACACTTATATTATCTATGTTATGAGGTATTTCAGTTAGCTGTTTTATTGCAATTACATACAGGCGATGTTTATTTAATTGATTATTAAGCAAGTTGGTAATGTTAATGGCATCATAATTGAAAAGAAAAAGTAATTCCGCATTTTTAATTAAGCGCAGCTTAATACGATATTATGATAACATTACCGGATATATACGGGGTGTTACATTTATGGTATCAGAGCAATGGTTCGAGGGAAAAGTCTGTATGTATTGCAATTGCTAGGTTGTTTGGTTGTGTCTGTCTTTGTGTTTACTCAGTCGAATTTTATTATGATGATGTATATGTGATCACATTGCGTGGGCTTGATCAACTCATAATTTGTGTAACTTTTGCAGAGTCATGGTAAGGTCCGGGAGAACACGAGAGACTTCTGAGGATCAACCCGATCCTATCCTGACTGCATTGGCTGAGATGCAGGCGGCTAGGTTAGCCGATCAAGAGGCCACTAGATTGGCCAACGCGACAATGATGGAAGCTGTTCGCGAGGTGAACCGGATAGCCGCAACTGAGGTTCGTGAAGCGAACCAGAGGACCACTGAGGAAGTCCTCGAGGCGAACAGGATGGCGAACATGACGATGATGAGAGTCATGTTGGAGGAGATGAGAGCTGGTCCTGCTATTGGCCAGGCTCCACCACCACCGCCACCACCGCCACCGCCTCCACCTAGTGTTCAGGAGGAGAGCCATAGTCACATCGGCAGTGCTACTCATGCCGCTGAGACGGGGGAGCCCCTTGAGGGGATTGCTGAGGATCGTGATGTGATCGATCGCCGGCTGAATGCTTTCAGGAAGCATAAGCCACCTGTGTTTGAGGGGTCTTTGGATCCTATTGCTGCTGCGAGATGGCTAGAGTCGCTGGACAAGATCTTTCGAGTTATGCAGTGTACAGACCCACAGAAGCTGATGTTCTCGACCTACATGCTGGAGGGCGATGCCCATGAGTGGTGGACGCACACCTCTCGTGCTTTTGAGAGGCAGGGTCGTGTCATGACGTGGCCATTCTTTGAGGAGTGCTTTTTGGGCTGATACTTTCCCTATGATGCGCAGGAGAGAAATCAGGGAGAGTTTAATCGTTTGGTACAGGGCTCGATGTCTGTTGATGAGTACCTGGCTAAGTTTAATGAGCTAGTGAAGTTTGCACACTTCAATATGGTTCCTCCTACTCCGTTGTTCCTGGCAGCTAAGTTCCGCAGGAGACTTAGTGAGGTGATTGTTGAGCATCTTGCTGGTGCTGCTTCGAGGGATTTTGGTACACTGGTTCAGCAATGTAAGGACATTGAGGATGTTTGCGTGGCAAGCAAGGCCAAGAGGGCCAAGGTTGAGGAGAGCAAGGGAACAGGTGGTTCCACTCCTGCTCCTACTTCTTCGAAGGACAGGAGGTTTGCTGATAAGGGCAAGGGAAAGCAGTTAGCGACTAGGCAGGCGCCTGGTCAGTTCAAGAGAGCTGTTTCACATCAGGGGAGTTCTGATAGGCCTCCTACCACTTCGAGATGTTCGGGATGTGGGAAGGAGCATGTGGGACGCTGTGCTACGGGGCAGTTGTTGTGCTTCAAGTGTGGCAAGGAGGGCCACTTCTCTAAAGATTGTCCGTCGTCGACGGCGAGAGCTGCAGCTATTCAGGCAGTTCCTTTGCAGATGGTTCCGATGGCATCTTCTTCGGCACCTGCAGTGCCACCTTTTGTTGGGAGAGTGTATACACTGATAGGCAGCAGCCGGACCGCGCTCCGAACCTTGTCAGAGGTACTGTGTCTATTGGTGATTCTTTTGTGGATGCTATCTTTGATTCCGGGGCTACTCATTCGTTTGTTGCTACCCCGATTGCTTTGGGGCTTGAGTTGCCCAGTGCTGTGCTTTCTCCACCATTGCGGGTGACTACCGCCACCGGAGAGATTTGTGATTTTACCACTGTACATCGCGATGTAGCGTTTCAGTGGGATGGCCGTGAGTTCTCGGTAGATCTGATAGGATTGCCGATGGCCAACCTTGAGATTATTCTGGGCATGGATTGGTTATCTAGAAACTGTGCATTGATTGATTGTTGTGCAAAGCGAGTGGTGATGTCTCCGTGTGATTCCACAACTAGTTCCTCGCCATACATTTCACTGCTGCAGGCCAGGAGAGCGTGGCGAGCAGGGGCATTGGGTTATGTCATGTTGGGTGGTTTGGTTAGTGGGACACAGGAGGATATCACTGGCATTCCTGTGGTGGGGGAGTTCCTTGAGGTGTTTCCTGAGGAGATTCTTGAGTTTCCGCCACAGCGGGAGATAGAGTTCTCCATTGACTTATTGCCCGGTGTGGGGCCGATTTCTTTAGCTCCTTATCGGATGTCGCCACCGGAGTTGGCTGAGCTTAAGAAGCATAGTGAGGATCTTTCGGCGAACGATTTCATTCGACCGAGTGTGTCTCCTTGGGGAGCACTGGTCATCTTCGTGAAGAAGAAGGACGGGACGATGCGATTGTGCACCGACTACAGGCAGTTGAACAAGGTGACAATCAAGAACAAGTATCCCCTTCCTCGGATTGATGATCTGTTGGATCAGCTCAGGGGTGCTTGTGTGTATTCCAAGATTGATCTCCGGTCCGGATACCATCAGATTCGGGTGAAGCCGGAGGATGTCCCGAAGTCCGCGTTTCGTTCGAGATACGGTCATTTTGAATATT